TTTTAAGGATATTTTTGATATTTTTTAAAAAATCTCTAGTAAAAATCAAATATAGAGATATTATTGAGTAAAACCCTATTATTAGGAGCTTTTTTGAGTAAATACCCAAAAAATAAGGTTATATTTTGTGAGAACTTATTTTTGAAAAAAAAATCAAACCACTTTTTTCTTAAGATTGATAGATTTTTTAAAGATTGATGACTCTTATAAACATGATATATGTAAGGAGTAGGTAAATAGCTAATTAAGTGATAAGGTGATATGACTTCTCATAATCTTGATGCATTTGTATTGTTACATTATTAAAAATATCCTGTATTGTATTTCATTTTTGTATGACCTAATTCTCAATTTGTTTTTGTTTTGCTCGAAAGTGCCTTCTATTTTTAGAATTACTTGACCACATCTTTTTTCCTCGATACCTATGATACCTTAGTCACTTAATCTCTTTAACCTTTTCTTTTCATATGGATTAGTCCAGGAGAATTACAATGCTTTTACACGATGTTATAATGTTTTTAATAATACCAAAAGAATACTATAATGTACTATAAAAATATTTTGCTATGGTATTTTTGTACTACGTTATAGTGTAGTGTAAAAACACTCCAAACATAGTGTTTTCTTGATATTGTTGAAAATACTATAATACTGTATAAAAATATAACTGGACCAGTTATTCCTATGAATTGGTCTATAGGAAAATAAATATAAGAAAAGATAGAGAAAAGAGATAACTTGCTCATTGTCAAATCATAAATATGAGATAAAAAGTGGAAATTTAGAAATGGAGGGTCCTTCTCGAGAAAAGCTCAAAGAGAGGGATTTTTTTTTCTTTCTAATAATTAGTTTCTTTATTTGGTTAATCAGAATAAGTTTTATAATTTTCTAAGATAGGATTGATGATAATATAATTTTTGAAAAAATAAACACAAAGATAATATAATATGATGATTGATTGATAATTGTTGTCTAATTTTATATATTCTTTTTAGGAATATTTTTTAGGCTAACTCGAAGCATGTCTTAAATTAGACTTCTGAATCATATTCAGATTATACACGATAGAGACATAGATAAGAGATTATTTGTTGAATATTTCACTAAGAAAGGCTGTTATGAATCAAACTTCTTTTGAGGCTTGATATGGTATGAAACCAAATGTCAGACATCTAAGAATTTTTTATTATATTACTTATGCTTTGGTGAATTCACAAAATCATCACAAGCTTGATGAAAAATCTAAAAAATAAATCTTAATTTGTTATTCCTTATGATCGAAAGCATATCGATTATATAACCCTGTTAGTGGCAAAGCTATTATTAATAGAAATGTTACGTTTGATGAAAGGATAAGTTGAAATTGGGAGACCAATAAAGATGGAACACAAATACAGATTCCAGCAGAACTAGACACTCCGCAGAATCAAATGACATATCCTGCTCCAACAGATATTACACAATAATTTAAAAGCTTAAGCTTTTATACATACAGCAAGCATTATTTCACACTCAATCATTTGGTCTAATTATGTGTTTTCGGGTTCGAATCAACACACTACGATGCCTTCCTTCGTGATGATATACCATTCATATTTAGGGTACGAGGTTGAAATAGAGATTGAGAGGTAGACTAATAAAATCTTTCAATTAATTATCTCTTTCCTCTCCATAAATTGTTAAATGGATGAGAATACGATGACCCATAAAATGATGATATGTTTTCTTATGCTTCTCCGTATGGATCTTTATTGTTGCAGAAAGGTGGCTTGGATTGTGTTATATAATGGGGTGAAAAGGAACGGTATTGCATGGCCAGACATATATAAGTACGTATAAAACAATTGTCTTGCAGCATCATGCTTTGACAAGAGAAGCACTATTAAAAACTCTTGCAGATTTCTGTGATGCTCAAGAAATATAATTATACTTCTTTTTTTTGTGATGATAACGTCTCTCAATAGAATTTTTCTTTGCAGTGAAAACAAGAAAAAGTAGAGAAAGAGAGAGCCGAGTGGAGGGGATGAACCACAACTCGCCTTGTTTGTCCTGGAAGCGGAAGCGGAGGAATAGGATAAAGGCACCGGTCTGTCGGCCTCGTTGCTCGTGCCGGGCACGAAACGCTTTACCCACGTGATCTCGCCGTACAAACCCCACTATGGTTGTGATCGGACGATTGCCGAAGGCAAAGTAGTGCCTCCCACCACCTCCGCCAACGCCAACGCCACCGCTACCGCCACCGTCTCGTGGGGCGACCGCTGGTCCCACGCCCACCCTTCTTCGCCGGACAGTGGCAGGGCACGCGGGTACGCTGGGAGCCTGGTCACGTCCGTTCGGTGTGCCCACCACGTCAAATCCGACGGTCAGATCATACCGGTGCGCTCCTCGAGATTCGCGCAGTACATGGAGGACAAAAGTGAAGGATGGCTCCGAGGACCACCGGAGACCGGCGATCTCCTTTTGGTGGCCATCCCTCGTGGTCTGCTTCGGGTGTACTTGATGGGGACCGTCGCAGCCGTCTGATGGCGACGGGGCGCCTCGGATTTCCGACGCCTTTTGCTTTCTGGCTTCGCGAAACAGGCAGCCCGACAAGGATCTTCCCATTGGACGGACCGGATCATCTGACAGCCAAAGGGGCCCGCACGGACCTTGGCTCGCCGCCCGGTCGGCGACCGGTTCACGTCTGTGCCCGTTCGGTGATTGGACGCAACTAGTGGCCCCCATGAACCGCATGCATGCCTCAAGGTTAAGGCGTAGCGTAGGAAAAAGCGAGCGTGGGTCCTTTCTGGTTTCGGCCCTCCTGTTGTGTCCTGTCACCCGCACCACGCATGCACGCCACCACTAGATAGATGCAATGCGGATGTCATGCATATATCAGCCCGACGACGTCTGTGGGACCCGGCTTATGTGGCGGGCTACGATTGGTTGGATCGTCGATGGCAAGAAAAAAGCGTCGATAGATGTAAAAAAAAATTATTTTGATATTCTGAATCTGCACAATTGTAGTAAATATTTTACTCTTTAGCTCGAGAATGAGAAAATTGAGTTGGTCGAGCTGTAACAATTTCCATAGAGCTGAGCTGCCTAAGGATATGGTGAAGCTGAGCAGAGCTGTAGTAGCTAACCTAACCTAACCTAACCTAGTGATTTTTGGGTTACGCTAAGCTGAGATATGATGGTATTTGCCAAGCTGACTTGGTGATATGATGACTGAGCTGACTAAGTTACATCAATGTCCGTTGGACTGGCATTTTGCATGAAATTTTGTTTTATTGTGATAGTTTTAATTGGTGGTAGCGTTGTTTATTAGAATAATGATTAATAATTGGAATGATTCAAGTTAAATCAAGTCGTTTTTCTAAACTTCATTATATTTTGACTAAAAATATCCACCTATTTGTAACCTAATTTATTCACGTCCACATTTATGTTTCGAGGCAAGAGACCATATTCTTAGAAGAATAATCTCCGAATTCAATATTTTTCATGTATATTGATCATATCTTTCAAAAAAATAATCTTCAAATATCTACTGCTAAAGATAGATAGATTTTTGTTATTCGATTGGGTGTCGATAGATCATGTTTCATTTTTGTCTCTATTTGATATTGGGATGTGCGAAACTTATTTGACAAAAAATATCTTTAATTCTTAAGTTAGTGTTAGGTTATGATAAATAGATTGAAAGTGTTAAAACGAATTGAGTTAGGGAACATAGTAAAGACGTGAATACGATTAAGATTACACCATGTAAGTCATGTGGTGTTGAAATTTCACTCATGTGACATGGAAGCATCATCCACATGATGTTGTTGTGATGTCTATCACAACCTCGATGTTGGTCATATAGCATCGAGGTATTAATCACTTGATGATAAGGTATCGATAGTTTTTATATATATTATTTTTTTTTTTTATGTCGCTTAGCTCCTATTATGCCTCAATAAATGCAATGAAGCCGAGGCATGATAAGAGTTCACTATCAACCCCGAAAAGAATAGTTCAATAATGTTATCATCAAAGAGAGAGAATATTCATGTTATTATCAAATGAAACACTTGTTACATTATCATTGAAATGAACATTTTGAATTGTTTTAGTCGTATTATCAATATGAATGGAATACTTTGGACTATTTCTGTGTTATCATTGACATTTTATATGGTATGTGATTTTTACATGGTATTATTTTTATACCAAATAAACTTCTTTGTTGCAATGCTAAACTTAAACTGAAAGAAAGCCTACAGGTGAGTTGAGTTACAGAGATCTTAATGCTGAACTCACGCATCTTGTAAAAAAAGCCAGACTTACAAAAGTAAGTAAGCTGGCCGATCAGATCAACAATTTTTCTCAAAATGTTATGATCCACTTTAAAATGTCAATGTGCATGCACTACTCATACTAACTTCTTTGCATCTCAGTGGATGATTTATCGGTGTAAATTTTTTTGTTTCTTCATAAACTAATTTGTACTACAAAAATATGTTGGAAGTATACGCGACGAATGTCGAGAATAATTATACGATTCATCCATTTATAATCGTGTCATATGATTAAGTATCGAGTCGACATCCTCATCACCACCACATCACCAACCTCTTGGAGCGTGTCATTAATTACCTACGTATCATGTTCTCATATCTATCTATCATTAGAGTAACATTGATTGATTTCTTATGATGAGAGATTAATCAAACATACCTACTCATCGACACTCATGGCCTGCTTGCATGCATGTCGTAGACAGACTGGTTTGAAAGATCAATGGAGTTTGGCATTGGGATCCGAAACGCATGATATAAAACCAGCAACAGTTTGATCCACAACATGATATAAACATTAGGAAGAAAGAAAGAAAGAAACCCACAACTTTTCTTTTTGGTTGGCCGCTTTAAATAATAATCTTCGACTTTTCTCACCTTCCCTCTTACATTGACTCAGTGCTTCTACTCATCCAAGTTGACAGTCCGCTTTTGCAAAAGCGTCTTCTTCTTTATAAGAAGACCACACCCCCCTCCTTGGAGACAGCAGTTGGGGCTGAAACTGTGAAGGCGATCGAGCAGCTGCAGCGGCTCTCGGACAATGATGTCCTTGGACAACTCTTTTCTATTCCCCTACCAACCCTCGTTGGATTGGGATCCACACACCTTCCAACTTGGAGACCTCCATCAACAACAACACTTCATGCCTTTGGGTAGGTGGAAACTTCCTATACTTTCTTCTTTGGTCTGTTTGAGCATTGACTCTCCCACGTCTTTGGGTGATGGAATTAGCAGCTATGGAGTCTCCGGTATCATCGCAGGCCTCGACCGGTTACTTGCAAGACGCAGTGGCGGAGTGGGGCGACCAGTGCAAGCGGAGACGCGTGACTTCGTCCCCAGCGGATGACTCAACGACGACACAAGAGCTCCAAGATCTTCTCCATGTAATACTTGAATTATGGTGTTTAGTAATGCAGTGTGCTCTGCTCTCTGCTCGCTTTGCTTATCTCCTTCTCTTGTAGGAGTTTTGGAGTTCCAACTGTAATGGAGATCCCTTGCATGATTTGAACTACTGCATGCTACAAGATGATGTTGTCATCCCAGGTAGTAAAAGTTCATGAATCTTTCACCCAGCCTCTGTTTTTTAGCTGCACTCTGCTCCTCCAACTTTACATTATCTTAGCAATCATCAAATATTAGCTGAAGACAATAAGCACAGCTTCTTAATTAACATGGGCAACATTCACACAGATGAGACACCGAACGTGATTCTGAAGACCAAAGCACAAGAATCAGCATTACAACTCCCACAAGAGCCACTCTCCTCTTCCTCCTCCCATCAAGAGTCACATGGAAAGGATCTCCGTCAGTCGAGCGACGCAAAACCTTCTCTTCCTACCGCTAAAGTAACAGAGCCCGGTTTGAAAGGTTGGTGTGTCGTCACGCGCGACCATGAACATGCACTCTGTTTCTTCTTTTCCGGAGACAAGTTCTGACTCTTGTGCTCGTGTTAGAGCGTGAGAGGAGGCAATGTAGGAAGAGCAAAGCCAAGACGAGCGTGGCGTACCCCTTTGCGGTGGTGAAGCCCGGAGGAGCAGACGGCCACGTAACGCTCGACGACATTAACGCAAGGCTTCTCAGGCGTCCGAGGCGGCCTGTCCGCCACCCGGTGGGGGAGTACGCTTATGGTCCCTGTGTGTCGCCGGACGGCCTTGGCCTTTCCGGCAAAGCAGTCGCCAGCCTCACACGGATCCAAACACGAGGGAGGGGCACGATAACAATCATAAGAACGAAAGGATGAAGTGCTTGTCGCCGCTGCATGCTCTATCATTGTAATTGTATATGTGACGGTTAACTGTTCTTGGAAAGACTGTAGCACCTCTTTTCCAGTGCAAGGCTATTGTATCAGCTCACTGTATGCCTTTGGCTCTCCTCTACTGTTTCGTATGAGATGAACTGAAGTAGATAAATAAATGGCTAGTAATTAAGATCTGGAGTTGCTTAGGGTTCTGTATCCTATCCATGGAAGATGAAATGAGCTGGGTGGACTGTACTTGGCATATTTCCTGCTCGAGTTCGAAGACAATTTTGCTGTTTACCTTCGCCTTTGACAAGAAGATGGAATGAAGTTTCATGCAGGTGACCTTCCAGTGGCTATAAATGTACGAAAGCAATAGCCCTTTTCTTGACTTGAATTCTGTAAGAAGAAGAAGAAGAAGAATAACCACACGAGAGAGAGAGAGAGAGAGAGAACAAAAGCAGAAATGGATGAAATAGGAATGCAACTAGGCGTATGCAAATCTAAGTTTCTAATGCAAGGTTAGAAGGGCAACACATGAACTCCATTAAAGTGCTTTTAATAATGGACTGCACTCATTAGCCTGGTGACGACGTACAGATAAAACATCACGGAGCAAATGGAAAGGACAAAGGAGGCATGCATGTGTTGGGGTCCTCCAAAAGAGAAGTCAGGCAAGGCTAGGAGTGATCCATAGGGAGTCGACACTAAAAGTTGCAACCTGTCGTCCTCCCCAAAGTCCAAGCTGACTTGAAGAAAGTTTTTGCAGGGTGGCATGAACTGCCATCGAGAGAGTCTCATGAACTTGTCCACCATTATAGCTCTGCCAACTTCTGATCCGTGTTGTAGAAGGTGATGATCACTTTGATTTTTATTCGGTCGATGTACCAATTAATTCTCTTCCAAGGAAGGATGACATCCCTAAAGATTTTGTGGGTTTGCTGTGATCCCCCCCTTAGACGGTTCGTCATCAATCGTTGACTATGTTTTGAGATAATAAATGGGCCACTATCCGTTTGTAGATAACATACATTAGCTAATTATTATTTTTTTGTTCTTTGTTTTTCGCATAAATGTTTATTTCTTATGTTCATCTTTCATGTTTTTCTCCAACTTAGGAGGTCAAGAAATAGAAACTATAAAATCCGGTATTCTTATGTTCAGCTAACTTTCTTTTTGAAAGTGATTCTCAACAGTTCTTCATTCATCATCAACTTACTAGTATTATTGTAGTTGTTCTTATCATTACTATCAAATATTATTACCATTGTCATCACTATCATCAATGTTAGTCACCATTATCACCATCAACTGATAATTCATTGTCACCGCTTCCACTATTGTCATCACCATCATTATGATACTAAAACTAATTATCAATAATACCAACAAATAGTACTTGTTAACAGTACCATAATTATTTATTATTATTATTATTATTATTATCATCATCATCACATATCAACAACAGCAATCATCACCATGATCAATGTCACTATTGTCATCATAATTATTATCATTGTTGTCACTATTCTATCATCATCATCTCTATTGTAAGCAATACTACCATGATCTCTGATCAATATTATCTCTTCATTTTATGTATAGTTGCTATCCAAGTCTCAAAGTCTCTTTTCTCCATTATTGTCATTATTATTTTATTTTTTAAAAAAAATTATTACATTAAATGATGTATATATGAGGTTTAAATATGGATATATAACATGAGACATATCACTTGAGCAATATTTAATATACTAATCAATTTGAATTGATTATCTCATTAGAGACTATTGCCAACATTATCACCAAGATTTTTCAATAAGTTATTTTATCATAATGTCCATTTAGTTAGAAGAATTTTTTTTAATTAATAATTTCTTGAAACAAATTGTTTGCATCAACT